GCTGTTTAAATGAAAAATATAATGGATAGCTAGCTAGCTTTTCCAGCTTGTCAGAACACAAGAAATTTTTCAGTTTAAACCCATCAAAAAGCTTGTGGATAAATTAATTTGAATGAAACACCTATTTTATTGTTAATGTGATTGTTGTTGTTTATAAATGTTGTTAACAAATATAATGCCCTTTTGGCAAAGCATGATCATAATCAGTAAAGTAAGGCTTATTAGATGTCATTACGTATGAATGGAGGATCGTTCTTCTGAAATTGTGGACTGGACTCATTGATACCCAGGCTTGGGGAGTAACGGATTACTTATAACGGCGTTACGTAAAAGTAATCAGATTACAGGTACATTTTGTACATTTTTTAAAATACTATTAGGATCACAATTTTTACATTTAAAACCAAAGAATTTAACCTTTTGCAGGGCTCCAAACTGTGCATAAAATGGTCACATTTACAACCAAAAATATCAAAATGTGAATTATATTTTTGCCACTGGTGACAATATAAATTTACATGTTATGATTTTAAAATTTGCATGTAATATTTTTATAATTGTGTGTTCTGCGAGGGCTAGCCTATCACATCATTTGTTGTGTTGACGTAATAAAATGAGACGCTGCACATGAAAGTTTTAGTGGGGAAAAAACTGGGAGTTCAAATTCATCCAGAGCGCCAAAATACGCACGGGGAAAGCGCGGAGCAGCTTTCCTTCTCACGAAGACATGTCAAAACAAAAAATATCAGACTTTTTCAAACAAGCCTCATGTCCGTCGAGCACCAATATTGATGGCACAACTGCTAATAAAAAAGCTCCAGTAGTGCCAACATGAGAGAGTAATAGAAAACAACAGGACACAGAGCATCATCTGTGTCATCGTCCATGTCAATGAACGCCCAAGTAAAAGTGCAGAAAGGCATTTTAAGACTTCTTGGATTCAAGCGATTGAATATCTGAGGTACGATCATCACACACAGAAAATGTTTTGAGACGTTTGTTCCAGGATTTCTTTACCGGAACGCACCATTTCAAGAAAGAGACTGAGAAAACACAGCAATAGTCTCTGTTAGATAGACCGAGGCACAAACAGTGTCTCATGCATGTGAACTACATGACGATATTGAATGGAAGGAACTAAAATATTCAACACCGCCTATATGATTGCACGTGAAGAGCTGCCTTTCGCCAAATTTACCTCTCAGATATTATTAATGAAGAAAAATTGACTGGATGTGTGCAAGACGTATAACAATGACACACTATGTGCTTCGAGCAGAATGCACCTAGTTGAGATAGTGCTTGTCATACCAATTTTGTCTGCTCAGCTCAAAACAGGATGAAATAAAAAGTATGCAATTCAATCTTGGAAGACTTGTTCAGGATCAGCACAGAGGGCCCATCACTTGAACAGTCTGATTCTGAACCATGTGTCAAACGCTGGCTTTCTGTAAAACACAGGAGGAGGCCAAACTACTTCTCAATGGCCCAGTGATGCGGTCATAATAATGGTCAGTGACACTGGCTCAGATTCTGTGTAAACAACAATTCTTTGCTGTATATAGGTCTCAATTTGGAAAAGACCTTCAGTTCCCACTTTAGGTGAACTTGGATGAAAATGCTGCTGCTGTAAAAGAGCCCAGATGTACACACATGACATGATCACTGAAAGTAAATGTTTTAAAAAAGTTTAAATATAAGTTCATTCTTATGTGGCACTTAAGAAAGTGTTTGTTTTTTTTCTTATAGGAACCAATGTCTCCTTTATAGAGTTTTTTGTCTGGAACCCTGCTTTTGACGCAACACAATATAGACAGCTGCATGATTATAGTTCTGGTTCTCACTTGCCAGTTGTGACTCACATGAGCAACAAATTTTATAATTTTACTCAAACAAATCCAAATCCCTGTTGATAAGCTTGTAGACATGATGATCATTTAAGTGCAACTTCTGACACAAAGGGTCATATGTCAATTATACACCATTGCATGATGACAAATCAGCATATGACTCATTTTTTCTCCCCTTTTCTTGTTTGTAATCAGGTCATCAGTGCTACTGCTGTGTTTGACACATTCTCAGTATATGCACTCATATACTGTTTCTTTATATATATATATGTATGTAACCCTCTTCGTTGGTGTGCTCCCCCTGAAATGTCTCTGCGTTGTGTTTGTGTGGTGGATGAATGGGGAGGACACCGAGATCGTGGCTGTCACAATAGTGAAGCTTTCCTTTATTCAGGCTCATGCACATAAAAGAACTTTCCACAAGAAAACAGAACTGACTCAACAACAGCTCCACCCATGTAAAGAAGGGCTCACCCGCACAACACAGCTCCCCCCCAAGGCTGGGAGAAACATTTCACATCTTCCCTACATTTTATATATATATATATATATATATATATATATATATATATATATATATATACGATCCCCTGCTGATTTTGTACGTTTTCCCACTGATAAAGAAATGATCAGTCTATAATTTTAATGGTAGATTTATTTGAACAGTGAGAGACAAAATAACAACAAAAAAAATCCACAAAAACGCATCTCAAAAATTTTATGAATTGATTTGCATTTTAATGAGGAAAATATGTATTTGACCCCTCTGCAAAACATGACTTAGTATTTGGTAATGACTTAGTAATTACTTTTAATTTTCATTGCCCTGGCTGAGGGAAGGAGGTTCTCACCCAAGTTTTGACGGTACATGGCCCTCTCCATCGTCCCTTTGATGCGGTGAAGTTGTTCTTTCCCCTTAGCAGAAAAACACCCCCAAAGCATAATGTTTCCACCTCCATGTTTGACGGTGGGGATGGTTTTCTTGGGGTCATAGGCAGCATTCCTCCTCCTCCAAACACAGCGAGTTGAGTTGATGCCAAAGAGCTCCATTTTGGTCTCATCTGATCACCTGAGGACAACTGGGAGAAAGTGTTGTGCGCAGGAACACGAGGGGTTTAAATAACTAGTCATCAATCTCTTAATTGCTGACAGCGGACAACACTTGTTAGTGGTAGTGTCCATGCGCATCTCAAGCATGTGCACGTGATGAAGCCGCTCGTGCACATTGTCGCCTCAGCGCCCTCTGCTGGCACGATCGTGACAAAACCCCCCTCCAAGGGTGGTCCTGGGCCCCAGTGTAATCGGTCTCTTGATGCCTCAGAAAACAGGGCAGCCTCCGCCGAGCAGCAGACAGGCGGCGCACCACCCCCAGCGGAACAGAAGCTCGGGGCGGCGCCCCCAGTGGGACTGGAAGGCTGGGCGGCTTTCCCAGTGGGACTGGTCTCAAGCTGGAGCTCTGAGGCCGCCAAGTTGACCTCAGATGGGGGCCCGGAGGTTGCCCTGTTAACCTCGGGCTGGATCGCTGCATGGGCTGTCTGGTGTATTTATGCTCCCGCCAGCTGCTCTTGAAGCATTCGTTTGAGCAATAGAATGCTTCCTAGAGACCCAGCTTTTTGCAGGTAGGGCATTGTAGCTTGGTCTCCCTCCCACAGCACTCAGACATACATCTAGACGTCCTCTCCACCTCGTCAACCGGAAGCTGAAGTGAAGCTGCTGCTTCTATCCGGTCCAGCCATGCGTAATAGAGGTGGAATGGCCAGTCCTCCTTATCCAGTACTTCGATTCCCCTCTCCATTACATCCAGGCAGTTTGATTGCCCCGGATTGCCCTCCTTATCCAGTACTTCTGAGAACTGGGCGACGTCATAGAGGACACTGGACCCTGAACAAGCCAGCTGCTCTGCCCAATCCCGGGCCGGGCCATAAAACCGGGATACCAGGAAGCGCAGCCACTGTTTCTTGGTAGGCTTGGGGGCCGCTAGGCTTGCAAAGTATACCTGGCTGTGGAACAGGAACAGCAGCGGGTGGGATCCCCGCCCATACGTTTCCAGCGGGAGTTCAACAGCCATCCTCTGTGGAAACTGCACGGACTTGTTCTGCGGCCAGTAGTCCGAGCGCCTAAGAACCAGGTGTTTTCCTGCTACTTCCCTGCTTTGGCGGAAGATTCTGTTACGTATCGTGACGGAGCAGAGATAGGACGGATGCAAGCGCAGTAAAGAAAAGTTTCATATATGAGAGACAGGCAGACAAATCCAAATCGTAATCCAAACATGTAATCCAAAACAGGCGAGAGGTCATGTGATCGGCAAACAGGCATATACAGGGCAAGGCAGGAAACTCGTGGTCATGGGAAACAGGGTCGAGAAACATGAAACACAGCGAGGGACTGGTAGCGAAGAAACCAGTAACTAAACTAACTAACTTAACCATGAACTATGGCATGAACTAAGACATGAACTATGACTATGACCTGAAAACATGAAACTATGAACTGACTCTACAACTATGACTAACACATTAAACTTATCTAATCTTACTCTAATCTTCCGCAATGAGTGTAGCAGGGCACACGGTATATATGCCAGCATGATTATCTTCGGAATCGTAAACAGCTGAGAGCAATACAGATACACGTGACGTGACAACCAATGACAGGACAGGGAGGAGACATGACATAAACAATAACAAAGACAAGTGTTGGAATGAGAAAGCAGGTGCTCGCGCATTAGCACTTAGAGCACGCTGCTTCATGGGGGAATCATGACAGGACCACTGTCAGAAAAATGGCAGTGGCCTATTACCGGCCTATTTGCTGGGTGGTCAGTCTTACCTGTGTAAGATAATTCTCTGCGATTTGCTTTCAATTATCTGTCACACAAGTCAGGCATCTTTTCTCTAGTTTAGTTATGAGATTTATGGCAAGTTGCCCAGACCAATATGACGGTGACGTTGCTGTACGATCCAGCAGCTAATGCGTGTCTAGGTCTCTATGTATTTATATGTCTGGTGTCCATGCATCCATCTTCTACTGCATACTCCTTCTTCAGGGTCGCGGGGGAACCTGTTTAGACATGGCAATCAGCCTACCATGCATATCTTTGGACTGTGGGAGGAAACCGGAGTACCCGGAGGGAACCCCCGCAGCACGGGGAGAACACACATGGAATCGAACCCCACACCTTACAGGTGTGAGGCGAACATGCTAACCACTAAGCCATGTATTGGTGTAACAATGTAATTTATAGAAAGCAGTAGTTAGTGTAATGTTAGCTCGCTTACTAGCAAATGCTGCTAATTCTTTTATTTTGTACACAGCGGTTAGCAAACATTAACTCTCTGGCTTGGAAACTTTACAGATTATATATCAGTCATTATGCAACATAAATAAAATTATTAATTTGTGAAAATATATATAAGCAAAAATATTTTGCTTTTGTTGTTATTTCCCCAGTATGTATCCTGCAGGACACAAACACTTGCCAGGTCCTGCAGAATTTCAGATCTATCCTGCACAATAGTCCTACAGGAAGTGTGTGCTTTAAATAAAACTGCAGGACATAAGTCTTGGAGAATATAATTATTGCACATATTATTTTCTTCACAGAATTCCTGAAGGTATTTCTACAGGAAAATGAGCTGAGAATCCTGTAGGACAGCGGTCCCCAACCCCCGGTCCGCGGACTGGTACCACACAGAAAGAATAAATAACTTACATTATTTCCGTTTTATTTATTATCTGGATCTGAAAAATGACCGGATTCTCTCTGTTACATCCTTCTACGATCACTCTTGACGCACGTCAAGACGCTTGTCTCGGTCACGTGATGCGTTGAACCCTTACCATAGAGACCAGAGAGCGTTAGGGGGGAGAGACGATGTTATGAGGACGCTGCTATTAAAGTTGGATTGCCACATTGGATTCACGTTTATTATTATATTTTAAAAATCCCCCAGTTTTTATGCCGGTCCTATCATTTTATTTTGTTGTATTTATCCGCCACACCTTAAAGGCCGGTCCGTGAAAATATTGTCTGATATTAAACCGGTCCGTGGCGCAAAAAAGGTTGGGGACCGCTGCTGTAGGATATCTGCATAATAGTCCTGCAGGATTCCTTAAGGGTTTGTTTTTTTAAAGGGAAGGATTATGCACGTTTATATAAACATGCCACAAAACGAAATAATAACTTAAACTAAAACAAATAAGACGACAAGAAACTATAAAGGCATATTTCCAGCAATAATAGATTTTAAACATATTTAATTAGTAACGTAATTTTAAACATTACAATCGCAATCTACGATCGATTAGCGACCGACGTTTAGTAGTTCCCACTCAGGGAGGCGTAAGGTCCCTTTCCAGAACCTTCACGCTTACCGTTCCTCAGTGGTGGAATGCTCTTCCGATCTCAATCCGGACTGCAGAATCTCTCACTATCTTCAAAAAACAGCTAAAGACCCACCTCTTCCGTCAACACCTAATCAACTCCTAAGAAAAAAACAACAAAAAAAAAAAACAAAAAACCCACACACAACACACTTACACCTCTACTCTGTGCACTTTGCTTCCTCTGGAACTCAATTAATGGATCTTGTATAGTAGCACTACTTGTATTGTTCCCTGCTTGACATATCGCTTTGATAATTTGTAAGTCGCTTCGGATAAAAGCGTCTGCCAAGTGAATAAATGTAAATGTAATGTAAATATTAAAAAGAAAAAAAAATAATGAACGCGTTGTAATTTGTATTTTGTTTTTCAATTTTGAAACCAAAAGCAAATGAACCCAACGTACCTGGACCACCACGGAACCACGAAATTCGGTTTCAGACAGGACGATTAAAATGCATTCAAATTCAGATTTTTGCATTTAAATTGGCAGTACACTTCACGACGCAGCCAATAAGACCGCGGTAAGAGAAGCACAATGGCTGACTTCTCAGCGGGGCGGGGTTTTTTTCTGTTCTCCAGCGTATGCGCGCGAGGGCGCGTTCTCTCCGAAAGAGAAACGCGTGAGTGTAGTCGATGTGCTCGTAGTACAACTGTGAGCGCGCGTGCGCGTATATTTGCGTTTCCTCGCAGCAAGTTGAGGAGCGCGACACATTTCAGTGCAAAGGAACGTTGCTTACTTTTACGAAGTTTTCACAAATAGTAGGTAATTTTCCGTGAAAGTATTTTTTATTTTTTTGCTAAGCGGTGAAAACATGTCAGCCCCAGCAGCTAAAGTGAGTAAAAAGGAGCAGAACTCGAACCACGACGGAGCGGACGAGACCTCTGGTAAGATGTGAGGGCCTCCGGAGCATCGCCATTTTCACTTTCTCTTTTCACGGGTTTGAGTTTCTTTGACCAGCTGTTTACCAAAAGGGCGGCAGCAAAGTATATCTAATTTTACGTGTCTTGCTGCGAGTTTCATGAGGTTATGATTGGCTGTGGTCGTCGCCGGGGTTGGATGTTGTGAGCGCTCAGGAGTTGGAAAGCGCCGGCAGTGGAGGCCATGTTAGATAGCCGCTAAAGGCTAACGCCATTGCTACAACGACGAAATGTCATATGTTCAGTTAAAAAAAATAAATAAATACAAATAAATTGTGTATGCGCTTTATATACTTTAAAGGAACATGTGTTGCCGGCACGGAACAGCTTAATTGTTTCATAGTTCTAAATCTGTGCTGGATATATATCGTCGAGGTATCTATGCTACTTTATTGTTGTAGGGTAGCGACCTCCGCCATGATGTACATACCATTTAGCTAGCCTGGCATGTTGGCTGTTCGCTTCGGGTAAATGTGCTAACTAATTACACCTCGTAAAAAATGTCCTATTTTGAAACGTTCGACTCCGAGTTTTATGGAGGAGGAAGAAGAAGCTAGTTTGTGTGTTTATCCACCCGATGTTGCACAAGAGAGGGGAAGCTGGGAGGTAGAGATCTCTGTTTAAGCGAATTTAAACCACGCGGCCCGAGCAGCAGGAAGCGGCGTCTGTTCTCTCATAGACAAGAAAACTAGCTGCTACAATGTACTTTTAGCTGAGGAGCTGCATAGTGAATCGCAGCCATCAGATGCAACGCTACCTCGCATTTCTCCCAGTAAGAAAAAGTACATTTTCTATAGCCGTGTTGATATCGTGAAACTCATTATTTCCCCCCAAATTTTTTAAACTGTATTTGCTTAGAGGTATTTCTCTGATTCCAGAAAAGTCTGTGTTGTACTTTTGTCCTGAGCATTGCTTTTTTTTTTTTTTTTTTTTTTTTTTTTGTATCTTCAGAAAAAGAGCAACAGGAAGCTATTGAGCATATTGATGAAGTACAGAATGAAATTGACAGGTCAGTTCATTTGTGTCCAATCACAATAACAAAATGCTTATTCATGTGGAAGCCCTAGACAGAAATAAACTGCTTGTATTTGTCCATCACAGACTGAATGAACAGGCCAGTGAGGAAATCCTGAAAGTCGAGCAAAAATACAACAAGCTTCGCCAGCCATACTTTCAGAAGAGGTCAGAACTCATTGCCAAAATTCCCAACTTTTGGGTCACTACATTCGTGAATCATCCACAAGGTAAGCAAGGAGACAACACCCATCAACCTGAGTTATACAAATATAATGTGTCCTTAAATGGCTAAATCATTTGTTTGTGCAAATGGAACAAAAAAAAGAAGTATTCAATATTATGCTCTCTGTATCCACCTAGTCTCTGCTCTCCTGGGTGAGGAGGATGAAGAAGCTCTTCACTATCTGACAAGGGTGGAAGTAACAGAATTTGAAGACATCAAATCAGGCTACAGAATAGATTTTGTAAGTTTTGAGAACATCTGGGTATTTTTGGAAATAGGTTAATCTTTGTTTCATTATTCTCATGTTTTTTTTGCCTGTGTTTTGTAGTACTTTGATGAAAACATGTATTTTGAAAACAAAGTCCTATCCAAGGAAATTCACCTGAATGAAAGTGGAGACCCAACACCAAAGTCAACAGAGATCAAATGGAAACCAGGAAAGGTGTGAATGATGTTTGATTGTAATACTCATTAAAACTCTCTGCTGTGACCTTTTCTTCAAGTGCTGCATATGGGTTATTGAAGAAACGTAATCTGTGATCCTTTTAAGGACCTCACAAATCGTTCCAGTCAACCGCAAAGTAAAGCGGGCAAGAAGAGGCAACATGAAGAGCCTGAGAGCTTTTTCACCTGGTTCACTGATCACTCTGATTCAGGAGCAGATGAGTTGGGGGAGGTCATAAAGGATGACATCTGGCCCAATCCTCTGCAGTATTACTTGGTGAGTCTCAATTAGTTTCCACCTTCAGTATGAGTAGGAATATTCTCATCACTGGCTAGCTGAACAAAAGTTCTCATCTGCCTGTAGGTCCCAGATATGGAAGATGAGGAAGGAGAGGGTGAGGATGAAGATGAGGAAGGTCTAGAAGACATAGATGAAGAGGGAGAAGAAGATGGAGAAGAGGATGATGGGGAGGTAATTTACATCTAAATTGGTTTCCTTTATTCATCTGAAATAATTGATGGATAAATAATATAATTAGAAATGGTTTTAATAGTGTGGTTTATGGTGGTGGTAATAGTGGTGTGCTGGTGCTTGTACAAATGAACTTGTGCCTTCTGACAGAGTCCATTATCCTTGAAACACATTTTATTGGACTGTACTGGTCTTAACCCAGTGAGAAACCCCCCCCAAACCTAATGTAATTTTAGAGTGTCTATATAAATGTTTTTAAAAATCAAACTTTCTTAAAGTTCTTTACATTTCTTGCCATTGAAATAGCCATAGAAGCTGACATGGTGTTAAAAAAAAAGAAAAAGCTTGTCAAAATGCCCCTTCTTCTTATTTCAGGATGATGATGATGGTGAGGATGACTGAAGAGGAATAAAGTTGAGCATAATTCATCACTGTTTAGTCCTGTCTGCCACAACCCATTTGCTACTTTGGTGATTCTTGGGAGCAAAAATGCATCCTTTTTGCCCCCTTTCCTTCTTGTCTTGGTTTTTTTTGTGCTTCCTCTCCTGTCCTGACAGTGCCATGTTGAAATCCACCCAGGAAGAGACTGCCACTATGGCAATTAATCTCAATTCCCAAGTACATTTTGAGGAATAAAACAAAAGGCAAAACACACTGTAATATAAGCAGCACACTGTCTGGAGTAGACTTGCGAATAGGTAAACTTTTTATATAAATGTGTATATGCATATTTCATCCTGTTAGTGTGGTTAAATGAACAAAG